TCTCTCTCTCTCTCTCTCTCTCTTTGTGTGTGTGTGTGTGTGTGTAGATGGAGACTGCTCACTTATTTTCCGGACACCCAGACCCAAATAATCACACAGAAACTATATTAATTACAGCACTGTTTGGCCAATGACTCAAGCATATTCTTAGCTAGCTCTCATTTCTATTGATCTGTGTATCACCACGAGGCTGCAGCCTATCAGTAAACTGCCAGCGCCCTTCTCATTCAGCAGCAAGATGGCATCATGGCATCTCCCTGACTCCACCTACTCTCTGTATCTCTGTTTGGGTTCCCCACCTGGCTTTCCTATGCTAACCATTGGCCGAAACAACTTTATTCATTATCCAATAAAAGCAACACATATACAGAAGGACATCCCACATAATCTCTCTCTCTCTCTCTCTCTCTCTCTCTCTCTCTCTCTCTCTCTCTCTCCCAAACTAGGCTTTTGCTCAAACCCAGAAAACAAGATGCAAGCCACAGTCACAGGTAGCTTCATAACTCGCTCTTCTATGGATATTTTAACTTCTTGTCTTCTTCAGTGGGGCCTGGAGAAGGTAACATCTATGATACCTGGTTCAATTCAGACGTCCGAGTACATTTTTCCAGTATTTCCCCTACAAAGTCGATCCACTGCGTTTGTAGGATGAGTAGTGGTCTCTGACGTCTCATAGTTCCTGCCCTTTCAGAAGGCGGCAGAGCCTCTGGGTGGCCTCGGGAGTGGTGAAGGTCATTGACCTTCTGATTCTGTTTTCTTCCTGTCATTTGGGCAGGGCAGATGTGAGGCCCCAGCTCCTAACCTTCCTTGGGGCTCTTCACCTTACCTAGGAATTGATGTAGGAGGACAGCTCTGTCCACGTGGCTGGTGATTCCCTCAGCTAAGGGTGGGGACCAAGATTTCTTACAAGGAGAGTGTGTGTAAACTGACAAACCAGCTTGTGCCAGACCAGGTGTTTACAGGAAGGGGTAAGGAAGGTATTGTGGATGAAACAAATTCCATAAATTGCATATGGCTTAAAGCGGGCGGTTCTCAACCTTCCTGATGCTGCGACCCTTTAATACAGTTCCTCGTGTTGTGGTGACCCTGACCATAAAATTTCTTTCTTTGCTACTTCATAGCTGTAATTTTGCAACGGTTATAAACTGTCATATAAATATCTGTGTTTTCTGATGGTCTTCAGTGACCCGTTGTGAAAGAGTTGTTCGACCCCCAAAGGGGTTACAACCCACAGGTTGAGAACCGCTGGCTTAAAGCAGTGAACACTGATTCACTTGCCGTTGTGGAGAATAAAAGGCAAGAAATCTTGGGACACCTTCCTTCTGTAGGGTCTAGGAGGAATTCTCCCTGACTCACCCTCTAGCCCTAACTAAGCCCTGACACAGTTTCTGCCCTTGCTCCCAGGGGCACATCTGGATCAAATCCTCCTCTGCCTCCCCCCTGTGATTCCATTGGCCTTCTGGGATGCTGTGGGATGTGTCTCCATCTCTAGATCTTTACTCTGGACACATCTGTAAATGTAGATCTTTACTTCAGACCTATGGCGGGTCCCATTCACAGGTTGCAGGACCTAGATGTCTTTGGGGGAAGGTGCCAGGTGACCACAAGCACCTTCTGGCCTTCTCTATGTTGATCTGCCATATTCTCTAGAGACAGGGTCACTCATTTAACCTGGAGCTCACCTTTTTTCAGCTAAGCTGGCAGCCATCAAGCCCCAGAGATCCTCCAACCCCCACTTCCGACCCTAGTGCTGGAGTTGCAGTTATATGTGGCCACTCCTGGCTCAGAGCTGAAGCTGACCAATCTCCATTATGTAAGACCTGGGACATTATTGCTGGAGGCTGCAGTTTTCTTCACAGTTGAACTGGGATCATTCTAGTGTTTTGTTCTTGGTGTGAGGTGAAAGGACTTTTGGTGTGCAAAGGATGCAGAATTAATGATAGAAAGTGTACCTTGTTCGTTATGTGGTGACACGTTGTCTTGTTCTCTGCTCCGTCTCTCATCCGTCATTCATCACCTGTCTATCCATCATCTATCCATGCATCCATGCCGAATCGTTCATTTTCCCACTGTAACGAAAAAGAGGGAAGGCAGGTGCGGTGTGGGGGTCCACCAAGACAGGCATGAAGATGCCACAGCATTGGCCATGGCGTTTAAAGCTTGTGTTAACATCAAAGGACCTCTCCATGTCTGAGTCCAAGCGATGCTCTGGGAAGGGGCTGCATCTCGTTGTCGCTCACAGACACACTCCCTACTCGTCACCCCATTCAGCCAAATCAGTTGTTCATTATTTATGTCTTATCCCAAGGCAGGGAGGTTTAGAAGTTCCTAGAGACCATATTTGAATCCGATTCCTTCTTTATCCCTCCCAAGGCTTATCCCAGCACCACTCAGCATGAAACACCATCATGGCACATGCTGTCTTGGCTATGATCTGCTGAAATCCTGCCTATCCAAGTCAGGGGCCACAAGAGCTTCAGATGGTTGCCCACGGTCCCTGCACCTCAGACACTTGGAATAGAGCTGCAGAGGCCAAGCTTGCGGTGGCTGCCCAGAGAGGGACTCCCCAAGATTCTTGGCACACCATTTTAAGAGCTCAAGACTAAGAAAGAAAGCAGTTCATTAGGCACCCAACAACAACAACAAAAGTTTCATTAAATGGGACAAATTTTGTGAAAAGTGACAACCCGTTCCTCTGGAAGGACAGCATTGTCTTGATTAAAGAGCACACCTGGGAGCCACAAAGTGCAAATTATTGATGTTGAAACCACCCGTTCCCAAGAGGGCAACGCTGACAACAGCCACCAGCCCAGATGCTATCTGCAGCGCTGATTGACTGGACCTGGAGGGACGTGTTCAGAACCGCAGTGGCCCAGTTAAACTCATGCTCCCTTCTTCACGCGTGTATAGGCTCTGAGCCTCTTAGGTTTGATTCCACTTGTTGACTGTTTGCCAGGCTCCTTGTGTAGATGCTGGGGACACGCAGATGGGCAGCGAGTGACACATGACGGATTGTGGGAGTACACAAACTTCTCCAAAACAACAGGATGCAAAGTCCTGGCTGCTCTGCAGGTTCACTGAGGGCCAGTATTCACCTCGCTGAGCCACAGTCTTTTAGACCATGACATGGGAGTATCTGGTGTGTAACTTTAGAGGGTCGGTCAGTGTGATGGAAAGGGAGCTCCCGGCACAGGGAGGCACCCAAAGCTCCACAAATGAGCACCAGAGGAAGTGGTAATTATAGAGAAACCGAGTTAATGACCCCTTATTTAAGAAACTCCCAGGGGAGTGAAAAGAGAGAAGTTCCAGCTGTTGTCACCAATATCGGAGGTGTAATTGTTTTTACTTATTTTTATTTATTTATTTTGCTTTGGTTTTGTTTTTGTTTCATTTTCATTCTCATGTGTATGTGGTGTGCATGTTTGCACATGTGTGGGTGCAGATGCACATGTGTTTGCATCCATGTGGAGGTCAAAGGTTAGTGTTGGATCTTATCCACCATCACTCTTCTACCTCACTCACTGAGGTGGGGTCTTGAAGTCAAACGCAGAGTTTGCTGACATGGCTAGTCTTGCCAACCAGCTTGCTCTGGGTTCTGCTGTCTCTTTCTTTCCAGGCTTGAATTACAGGTAAGCCACTCTACCCACCTAGCATTCAAGTAAGTTCTTGGATCCAAACTTCATCACCCAAGCTTGCTTGGCCAACACTTTAACCAGTGAGCCGTCTCTCCATCTGTGATTCTGTGTTTGTAGGTGTGTGTGTGTGTGTGTGTGTGTGTGTGTGTGTGTATGTGTGTATAGTACCTGAGAAGGCCAGAAGGGGGCATCAGATCCCTGGAGCTGGAGTTACAAACGGTTATGAGCTGTCTGCCATGGATGCTGGGAAATGAACTAGGGTCATCTACAAGAGCAGTTTGTGCTCTTAACCACCAAGTCTCCTCTCCAGCCCCAAGGCTTGCTTTCTCACGTTAGTGTCTACTGACCACTTGTCAGGTGCTGGACACAGTGGCACATAGTGGCATCTGAATAACTGCAGCTGTCATGCATGGGGCTGTACACAGCCGGCCAACAAGAGTCTGAGACTGTAAGCCAGTCGTTTGTGTCAAGCAGTTTCTCAGAATAACGAGAAAACAAGGTACACAAGGTGTAACGGGGGCCCAGGTGTGTCTGTCAAAGTGGCGGGACGTGGCTATGCATCCAGCAAGTTCCCCAGTGGAACATGGATTGTTCCAGACGGGAACTGCATGACCAATGGGGGTCATGTGGGATCCGAGTGAGACAGCTGTTTCTAGCTAGGAGCCCCATTCAGGCCATCGCAGTAGCAGGACAACCAGTAAAGTGACAGAAGCAAGATTCGAGGCTGGTAGCTAGACTCCAGGAGAGTTCAGGGTTCAATGAGACAAAAAGGAGCTGAAGGAAGTGATGCTGCGGACTGTCGGCCCTGGGCACAGATCCAGGGACAGAAGACAAATCAGTTATTTGCATGAGGCCAGCCTGGCTCCATTGAGAGGCTCGGGAGGCTCAGTGCAGAGGGCTGGACACGAAAGACGGTAGACATGTTGAAAATGAGAAAGGGCTGGTGACTTGGCTCGGTGGCTAAAGATGCTTGCCACCAGGCATGATGGCCCAGTTCAGTCTCTAGTAAAAGAGAACTGACTCCCGCAAGTCGTCCTGGACTCGTACCTGGAAAGAATAGGGACTTACAGACGTGTTAGAGATGGGGTGACTGACGGAGGGGATGGCACCTGTCCGCTGTGTTCCCAGAGGTGCGCACACACCAATCTGAATAAGCAGGCCGTGTCATCTTTGCCAACTAAATTACTGCTCTCTAAACATTCCTTCCCCAAGTAGCCAATTAGCTCCTTAGATTTAGTGCTGACCCTAATTGCATATGGTCTCCCACAAGAGACGGGCATATTGTAAGCACTTAGAATTTTGGTTGAATGAACAGCTGTTCAAGGTGTGAGTGGATCTCCTCTTTAGGTGTCTTTGTCTCTGTAGGACTGAGCTACCATTCAGAAAACCCATACATCAGAGGCCGATCACAGACTAATGCATGAAAACAAGGCTTTCTCAAGCGGAGTGCGGATGAAGTACCAGCTCTGGAGGTCTGTCTGATTGCTTTCTGAAAATAGTTGGATTGGTTGAAGTGTTTAAAGGTAAATCAGAAGGAGGCGGGCTGGAGAGATTGCTCAGTGGTGAAGAACACGGGCTACTCTTGCAGAGGATGCAAGTTTGATTCCCAGCATCCATACTGGATGGCTCACAACCAACTGTAACTCCAGGTCCAGGGGATCCAACGCCTCTGGTCTCCACGGGCATCTGTGCTCATGTGCACACAGCCACACAGAGACACGCATAATTATAAATAATAAAAGTGGGGTATGGTGGCACACGCCGTTAGTCTCAGCGCTCGGGAGGCAGAGACAGGGGGATCTTTATGAATCCAAGGCTGGCCTGTGAAACATAAACAAATGCATGCAGCATGAGATAAGGGAGACAGAACAGGGTATTTAAAGATCTAGTATGGAAGGCAAGACCACGTGATGAAGTTAGGAGATAAATAAAGTTCACCTAACTCTCAGAATTAGGGTCAAAGAAAAACAAAAGGGGAGATGAATATCAACTCAGCCCTGAAGACAGTGCTGGCTCTACAGGAGGAGAAACTCGATGTTACTTAAAGGTCAACTACAGGTTGATAATTCCCAAGCTGAGCAAGATCCCACCAAAACCAAAGGCAATGGTGGTAGGAGAAATGGTGACAATAAGAGGAACAATACAGCACGCGTGGAGTGCCTACCGAGTGCCAGACCCTGGTGCTGGCCTTGGCCAGCGCCATCTCATTGTGCCCTCCCCATCGCCAGGTGAGGAAGTGCTTTGGCTACCCCAGGTTTAGAGAAACAGTGCTGTGTCTCTGACTGCTCTGGGAATTCTAGACTTAACTATTTTAACCAGAGCAGCTGAGACCAGGAGCCACCAAGCTCCGGTCAATTGACATTCCCTTCATGGACGCCACGGGAGGGCTGTGTCTCACCTGAGGTTCAGCCACTTCCTGCTGGGCTCCCTTCCCAGCTGTGGGCACTTCTGCCCCAGATGCCTGTGGTTTCATGAGATACTGTAGAGAGTCTGAGAAGTTCATTGAAGTGAGGGAGGTGTGGATGGAGAGGAAGCAGGTCATTTATGCAGCTTTAGGGAAATCACAACTACATTCAGGTAAGACTTTGGGGGTCACACATGTCCCTGTACGTAACCTATCCCTCACACTCTGTAAGTAACCCCAATAAATTCATCCTGCTCTGATGGAATAGTTACTTTGTTCAGTCATTGGTGCCCTATAGGGGGAGAGGGCATCTGTCAGGGTCTCCTTTGGAAGAGTTAAGACAATACTATGTAAACTTCCCCAGCCTCCAAGGCTGAGACCCAGAGGAAGTACAATGGGTAAGGAGGATTCAAATGAGTTCAGATGATTAGATATGTCCAAAGTGCAATGAATTATTTATACCATGTAAATATTACCAGATAAACCAGCTTACCAGACACCCCACAGCCAGGTAGTTAGAATTCTTGCTAAAGAATAAAATTTGAGTACTTTTTATACATTGTTTGCATTTTTATAAAGTGGTACATGCCTGACTAGGACAAAACAAAGGTTCTAGCACAGGACCTTGTTTGAAAGAGTTACTAAGGTAACCTATGCCTGAGGCTGTTGCGATCTAAGGTTTACAAGTGTCATTTTGGGTCCTTTAAATCACGCTCAATAACTCGTATCCTTGGAGTGCAGAGTTAGGCCAGGGAGCAGGAGAGGAAAAGCAAAGTCTGCCCAATAAGGAAGCCTTTTAAGAAACGTATTTTGATTCCAGCTTCGTCTAGGGTCTAGTGACACAAAGATAAAGACAAACAAACAAACAAACAACCCCTGTGCAGGCTCGTGAAAGCCTTTAGAACAGAGAACCAGAAAGGACGCGCAGTGCACACATACCTGTATATAACTTAGGCAGGGGTTAAATATCCAAAGAAAGAGGAAGTGGGGGTAGAGAGGCATCATCTCTGAGCTCTAAACAGAGTAAAGAAGCAAAATGAAAATATCAGTAGACTCCCTGACAGAGAAATAGGATGATCCCAAGGCCCTGAAGTGGGAATGAGTTAGGGTTGCCCCGGGAGGAGCAAGTTTGCCAGTGTGGCTAGTGCACACCGAGAAGGGACGTTAGAGGTTGTGGTCACAGGACATAGGCTGTAGCTCACTCAGGGTCCTGTTCAGCATAAGAAGGGCTTTGGATCTTCTTCCTCCTAAGTCTGACAGAAAGCCATCGGAGGCTATGTAAACCGGAAGTGGCTTTATTTGACTTCCTTGTCAGGAAGGAAGGATTCCCAAGGAAGGATGAGGTGGGGGAGGATCAAATGGTTTGGGCCAGGCTGAAATGGCTGGAGGCAGAGCAGTCTGCCTTGGACCTTGTGGAGTTCACTGGCGAGTGGGATGAAGGGCCCCAAACACAGTACGGGGTACGGGGTCAATGGCTAGGGGCATAGATCCAAGTATATAGCTGTCTGTGTGCACAAGATCCTGGGTTCCATCCCCAGTCCCTATTAAAAAGACCCCTATTTCTGCCACTGTGTAAACAAATACTATCAGAGTACTACCACATGCTTAGGAGGAATTGTAATTAGATTTGAGGAATCAAATTTTTAATTTTAAAATGTGTTTATTTTATGAGTGTGTGTGTGTGTGTGTGTGTGTGCATGCAGTGCCTAAGGAGGCTAGAGAAGAGTATCAGATCCCCTAGAGCAGGAGTTATATGGACGATTGTGACCCACAATATAGGTTCTAGGAACAGAAGCCAGGTCGTCTGGAAGAGCAGCCAGCGCTCTTACCTGCCGAGCCATCTCTTCAGCCCTCATGAGTTTACTTTGTGGCCTGCATACATTGCAGGTGGCCATTCGCTATCGCAGGGAGTCAGGAAGTTATTATTAAGCAAGCCAGTTTGGAGGTCAGTGGAGAACTGTGGGAAACAGCACCTGGCATTACCTGGTAGGGACTGGAAATTATCCCTCATTCCTATTAATATTTATTCACTTAGCAAATCTGTAGGGAGCACCTAGTGTGCATGCCAGGCACTGGGATGGATCCTGGGTGGGGCACAAGGCTAACCTCTACCTTCATGGAGTTTTGTTACAATTTAATTAGCTCCCTGGGTTCTGAGACACTTCTCTGGGCATTGGGAAGTACATAGAATCAACTCGAGCATCATAAATACTGACCTGCTCTCTGACTCAGCGATTTGGGAAGCACTTGGGCTTTTCAGAAAGAGCTATCTATGGATTTGGACAAATGACAGATTTGCCCAATAAAATGTCTAAGGACTACCTTAAAATGAATCAGAAGAGACCGTCTCAACCCAGTGAGTATCTATAAACAGACAGCCTTTGAGAATGGAAAAGCTCACAGGGCTGGAAGGCAGAAATCCGACCTCAGCCCGTTCTACCCTCAGTCTCACGAATGACCTTGATGGAGCCTTTGACTCGTCTGAACTTCAACTTTCTCTTCAATAAAGTGAGCCCATCTGATCCCATGTTTTCAAACTCCTGATTGCGTCTTTTCATTACAGTGTTTATTGTCTTGGGCTAACAGTTACTTTAAAATAAAAGCCGGAGTTCCCAAAGGGATGCTTCTCTTGAGAGCTCAGTTTTCAACAGAAGAAAGCTTTTAATATATATTTTTTTTGCAAATGGAAATTTTTCTTTTCTCGACTGTAAATATGATACATGCTCGGTGAGGAAGTAAAAGCAGAGGGGAATGCAGAGAATAGAGAATTATTGAGAGACACATGTCTGCTTTTAGGATTCTTGCACCTGCTGTGAGGACCCGGTGGCCAACTCTTTAGAAAGCCGGTCTACTCGCCAGCTATTACTATTACCTTGCAAACAGCCTTTTTGGTCTTTAGACAACACGCATGCCCTTACGCACACTGGAAGCCCTTCCTCTGGAGGCTGTGATCTTAAGTGTTGTCACCAGAGACTGAAACTGGCTGGGCAGTCTGGGATCTTGCTGATGTCCTGTTTCACAACAGCTCCTATCTGATACTTGTGGAATGCTGAAAAACAATAACATCGTATGCACGACTTCAATGATCGTAGTTAATAGCAGTATGGCTCCGTTTGAGCCATATCCAGGACTGCAAAGCCTTCCAAGGCACATCCAGAAACGCTGGGATGGACAGTTGCTCCTCCAATCCTCAGGACTCCTCCTACCCCTTAACACGAGGTTGAATGCTTCTGGGACATAGAACTCAGTGGGACATATTTTACTGTCAGCCTAGCATCAGCGGACCATGAACTCTCTGGAGAGTTTTCTGATGATCTTTGAGAAGGAATTAAAGTCGGATCTTGGCTGCAGACCCACGAGGCTATTCCCCCTAAGTGGAATGAGCTGCTGCCACTTAATCCCATGTGGTGATCACCTGGGATTGAGGGGCTATGTTCTTCATCTTGGCATCCTACATCTTACTCTTATCTGATTTGCCAACTAAAGTATGAGCATCTACTAGGCACCAGGCACTATGCAAGTCCCAGAGAACACAGGGGCATCCAACACTGACCCATCCTTAGAAGTGCTCACAAGCCAGCAGAGGAAGAGGGCAAAGTGCAGATGTCGATCTGAAGTCCGAAATGGCTGGGCTCAATGGTGTAGCAACTGCCTAACATACACAAAGCCCTGAGCTGGATCCCAGCCCCACAGTAAATTCATAAAGCACAGTATGGTAAATACAGCTCTTGCCTGCCCTGTCCCAGGAGGCCAGGAGGCTTGATTGCCGGTCGTGTTTGAAAGGTTTCAGAGGGTGACTCAGAGTTCAGCGAGCAGACAAGTGGTGGGGAAGACTGCAAACAGTGGAGGTGGTGTTGTGTCCTGTTGTGCAGGTGCACCTCGCAGCAATCGCCTTCCTCCCGACTGAGGATGACTGTTAGGAGCCTCTGCCCAACTCACACCTTCCTCCTGATGCAAACCCTGGAAGCTTGTCTCTACCAGGAACAGTCCGCTTCAGCTTCACTCACTCTGGCTGCTTCTGTGGAGACAACGCTCCCATCCTGAGCTAACTGCCCATCATTCTGTTTTCAGAGCGGTTTCTTTCAGAACCTGACCCATGAAGAGGAGATGACCCTTGCAAGCAATACCTTCTTATCAAATACCTAGTCATATACGTCACTGGGGGGTTGGGGGTGCAAGCATCTGAAGAGGCCAGAGTGACATCAGGTGTCTTTCCTCTGTTATTTTTCTACATTACTTTTGAGACAGAGTTCCTTGGGATTGCGATTCTGGCTAAACTGGCTGGTTAGCAAACCCAGGGATGTTCCTGCCCATCGCCCAGTGCCTCCCCCAATCCCAGCTACAGGTTACAAAGTCAGCCAGATTACAAACTGGCTTTCACATGGGTGCAGAGAGCTCAGGTCCTCATGCTTGCACAGCAAGCACTCTGTAGACTGAACTATCCCCCACTCCAACAGTCCGCTTTTGACAACAGCCCAACTGAGAAAAAAAACAAGAACAAAAATACAACCCAAGAAAGGTTTATTTAGTGCTTGGTATTCAATTAAAAATTCAGTTAAAAAATAAAATACTACCTGCCATCCACCCAACCCTGAGTAAGTAGCACTGTGCATCAAGTACCCTGTTACCAAGTGCTTAGCACCTAGCAATCTTGCCAAGCTACAATATACACAGAAGTTAGCTAGTCATACGGATAAAAAAAGAGCATTACAATAAGTGTCTTACAGAGCAGTGTTCAAAGTGTTGGCTGTGCCCAGGAGTGCTGGGCTGGTATTGTAGAGAACACGAGCTTGCGTCACTTTATTATACTATTTTCTCAATAGACAGAAATACAGGGTAATATTATACAACATAGATCCACAGCCCCCTTCCAGCTTTATTCAGGAGTAGCTCGCGTTCCCTTGTGATTTACCTCTGCTTTCCCCAGCTCTTGGTTTTGGCAGATTCTGGATATTTTTATCACTGCTCCCACAGATCCTAAGCTGTGTTTGAAAGGGGAACTGGGAATGTGTGGGTCTCCACTAGTAACTCCCTTGCCTCAGCTGGTCTCCTGCCCTGAGAGTACAGGTTATATTGATTCCTGTCAGTGACTCCAAAGCCTTGCCTGCTTCCAGGGTGAAGACCCCAAGACTTTCCTGGGGCCTCTGGACTAAGGGAGGCTGTGCGGGTGCAGCGAGAGCCCCATCCCACCGTACCTGGAACGCTGCCCAAATGTTCTGATCCTTAGTCCTCCTAAAACTTAATCTTCTGAGCTGGGCTTGGTGGTGCACACCTTTAACCCCAGCACTCGGGAGGCAGAGGCAGGAGGATCTCTGCGAGTTCAAGGCCAGCCTGGTCTACAAAGTGAGTTCCAGGACAGCCAGAGCTACACAGAGAAACCCTGTCTCGAAAAACAAAAATAAAAACAAACAGATTTTTTTTTTCTGGAAGTTTGAGCACCCAATGTTTGCACAAGATGACAGCTACTTCCTCCACTCCCAAGCATTTTCAGCAACGTCCAGGGAAACTTAAGGCAGTATGTATGAGGCTTACTCTGTAGGGTGAGCTCACTCAGAGTTGCTTACTGTCACAGCCTTGATTGATCTGCCTGTATGGAAAGCCTGGCCCCACCATTTGAACATCCAGCCTTTACACCTCCCAGCCTTTCAGACTTTATTTTTCCTGAAAGGTAGGAATCCATGCAGTTAACTAGACACCCCCTCCCCGCTTCACATCTGCAATCTTGTGCATGCGCGTGTGTGTGCACAGAACCCCCTGATCCAGACCACCATCTACTCTTAGCATGGATTGGCCTGGGACACCCGTACCTTACGCTCCACCCAGCCTCTTAATGACGTCCATAACACCTTACCCCTACAGCCCCATTTAAAACCCTTCCATTCTTTCTGGTACCCAACCACAGACCCGGCAGGAGGAAAACAACGTCCTTGCCATAGCCTTGCAAAAAGGAAGCGCTTCTCTCGCTTCACCCGCGACATCTTCAATGAATGCTTCCTGCAGACCCCGCGCTCTGCCCAGGAATAACGGACGTGAACGGAGTAAGTCCTCGGCTTCACTCTGCATCTCAACTCCGTCAACAATGATAGTACTCGGACAACCGAGACTCGGATTCGTATTCGCTTCCGCCGATCCGCTAAACCCTTCCTCCCAAAAGCAGCCAAAACTCCGTCCACCCTGGGTGCGCCCGCGGCTCCGAGCCCAGCCCCGGAGGAAGAAGGCTTCTGATTGGTTGCTGCGAGATGGGGCGGAATCCGGGGGAGGCGTCGCGGAGAGATGATGCAACGTCGCGGAACCTTAAAGGCACCGACCGCACGCGCCGCCGATGGCGCAGGCGCGTTGCTGGGCTTCCAGCTCTGACTCCAGCGCTACACTGAGTCCGGTCGGGCGGACGCGCGGAGTGGACGGCGGGGACGCGCGCGGGATTCGGGCCGGCGGGCGGGCGGGCCGGGTGACGGCGGAGGAGCTGGAGGCGTGATGGCCGAGGGCAGCGCTGTGTCCGACCCTCAGCACGCCGCGCGCCTGCTGCGGGCACTCAGCTCGTTCCGGGAGGAGGCGCGCTTCTGCGACGCGCACCTGGTCCTCGACGGCGAGGAGATCCCGGTGCAGAAGAACATCCTGGCGGCGGCCAGCCCGTACATCAGGTGAGCGGGCGCCGCCGCCCATCGCCTCCGCATCCCTCCCTCCCTCTGGCCTGGCCGCCCGCGGATCCCGTGGTTCCGCCGCCGAGCCTGTCGGGGACTCCCATGGGCCTCTCCCGGAGGCCCCCTCCCCACCAAGATCGCCCTGGCCCCGGAGCCCCGGAAGGTCTGCAAAACCCCAAACGCGGTGTACAGGCCGTCTTGGGACCCGCAGCCGCGAACAGGGCGGGGCTGCTCCGGGAAGAGCTACTCGTTCGCCCCGACAGGCCCCGCCCGGCCCGCCGAGCCCCGCAGAAGTTTACCTCCCAGTCACCGCACAGTGGGCCGGGCCGGGTTCTGCGCGGGGAAACCAAACAAACACCCGCGGTGTTGGCCGAAGGAGAACCCCGGAAGATCTCGGTGGTACCCACCCTCAAAGCCCAACTGTCAGTTTGCCACTCCCTTGTTACAAACAGGTTAAACTGTTGCGAATTTGGAAAGACCCACCGGGATTCTTTGGATACATTGTAGTTGAGGACCCAGAGATTGTAACCACCAAGAGAGCACTGTAAAACTTCCGCTACCAAACCTTAGCTTGATTTACCAGGGTAGTGAAAAGGTTCAAACCCAGCTTATAGCATCGGGTCAGAATTTGCAAGGAGGCTGCTGTCTTTTCTTTAGCAACTTTCCTTCAGGCAAAGTGGGTTGCTCTTTTAATAACGGGAGGCAGGCGAGCTAAAAGCTGGAGAAAGTGCCCAGTAAGCTGGTTAAATATAGACTAATGGTAGACAATGTCACTAGAATTGGCAAGTCAGAAAAAGGAAAATTATGTGTATGCCGTTCTGAGAGCTCTGTCCCAGCAGAACTCAGCACATACGCTGTACTTTAATCTTTAGTTTTTGGAGACATTGGAACTTAAAAGCAATCCAAGTGCCCTTGAAACTTCTGGCTTCTTCTATCCTAGCCTTGCCTTGTAACATTGTGCTCTTTGTGGACTAAGGGGTCAGGTGTCTTTGTTAATATGAAATTTAGATCACCAATATGACAGCTCATAGCTGGCAGTTCATAGGTTAGGACAATCAATCAAATTAGATCTGCAGGCCAGACCTTTCCCGGATCCAGAAGCAGTCCCTGTTTGGGAAATGCTTAGGAAAACTCCAGTGGATTCGATATTGTTAAAGTTGCACATCCTGAAGCAGTTACTGTCTCCGTCTTTTCCTCATGGCACTTACCACTGTAAGAACCTGTATTTTGCTCATCTTGATGCATCTTCCTCAGCCACAATGTAAACCCAGGCCAAGGATTTTTCTTTTGTTTCTTACCCAGCCCTTCGCAGAGAAACTAGTGCCTGGTGCCAGAGTAAACGCATCGAATGAATGATCATCTTCCTTTCATTGGACATCAGAGGGTTATATTAGCTGGCTGGCTAGGCTCTGGGCTCCGTGTTTGGAGATCTGCTTCATGTTTCAACTCTTAACCTGCCTAGCTGCGAGTTGTTGGGGATGACTTAGTCCTGACTCCAGCTCACTTGTGACAAAGGAGGGACACAGTGTGTTTTTGTGTCATTTAGTCTTGGAGGCTCCTACAAAGAAATGAGTTTCAGACACTCTACATCTCCACACAAGTCTGTTCCCTGGTTAGGAAAGATCTGTGGTTCATGTCTGTCTGTCTGTCTGTCTGTCTGTCTGTCTGTCGCTTTCCAAATAAAGGATAGATCTTCTGTGGTTCATGTCTGCCATCACTTTCCAAGTAGATAAGTATTATCTCAGAGGATCTGAGGTATATCAGGGTTACTGGTACTTAGTGGTTGAAGTAGGATTTGAATCTAAGTTTATGGCGCATAGTCTCCTGTTCCTACTGCTCCAAAAGACAGCGTGGCCTGTATTTGGATGTACTTTGGAGAACACCAAGATTGATGGTTTATAGGATGTTGCCATTTAAATGCTTGTCAAGCATGGTCATTCATAGACTTGAGTTTCATCTTTAACCAGTTTTTTGCAGTTGGTTAACATTTTATGTTAATATTATGTTGTGCTTAAAATTACACATTGCTAACATTTTATCAATAAATCAATTTTTAATATAAATATCGAATTTTCTTTATTGGAAGATTGTGTTAAATTTGACTACTGAAATGCTAGAATTTTGTGGTATTTTTAGATTATCAATTTCAAGGATATTTCAAAGCATCTGAATTACTAATTAAAACACAGCTTAGTTTTTTATTCATTTTTACAATATTTTTATTGGATAATTTCATACTTACATGCAGTGTGTCTTGATCTTGCATTTTAATGGATTTTTAGATTTATTTTTATTTTACATGTATTCATATTTTGCCTGCATGTATGTCTATGCACCATATATGTAAAGTGCCTGCAGAGGCCAAAGAGGGCATTGAATCCTCTGGAATTGGAGTTACAAATGGTTGTGGGCCTTATGGGTCCTGTGTTCTCTGTAAGAGCAGCCAGTGCTCATAACTACTGAGCTATCTTTTTAGGTCTCTAGTTTAATAACTTTTGACACCAATGCTATTGGACTTTTATAATGTAGCTTTGTTGAAATGGCACTTTCGAGACTACAGTAAAACAAAATATAAGCATTTAGAGTTGTGTTATGTCTGTGCTTTGTTGTTTTGATGTTTTTGTTTGTTTTTATTTTCTTTCCTTTTTTTTTTTGGTTTTTCAAGGCAGGGTTTCTCTGTGTAGCCTTGGCTGTCCTGGAATTCACTCTGTAGAACAAGCTGGACTTGAACTCATAGAGTTCCATCTTTTTCTGCTGCCTGAGTGCTGGGATTAAAGACATGAGCACCACTGCCTGTCTAATTTGTGATGGTTTTAATCTGCGAATCTAAAAGTATGAATTTGTTCACTGTTCTTAACCTAGGTAGAAAAAACGTCATCAGAGGTCTAAAGTTGGGTGGTTTAAGATCAACCCAACTTTGCCACTCTAGGAATGAAGGCAACTTGATCGACATATAGTCTGCTTACTACCCAAAAAGTCTTGCTACATAATGTATTGGTTTAATCTTTTCATGTGCTTTTCCTTGGTTTGACATTTATTTTTCTTTTCAGTAAGTAGCCATTCCAACCATGTGACATTAGAAATATTTTAAGTAAAAAAGTCAGAAAACTCAGGTTCAGCAACAAATTCCTTCTAGTCACCTGAAAGAGGTCTGAGGTTGGGCCAGTGTAGAGGGTGTCCTGAAGTTTGATGTCACAACACTCAGGGGAGATGGGCAGGTTCTCCCGTGATTTATCACTCAGCTCTGCAAATGGAAATGGCACCTTAGAGACTCGGTTGAAACAAAATGAATACAAGCATTTATATTCTAGCGGGCTGTTTTCCCAGTGCCATCCCTGGCTGGCATTTGCTTCTGGCTTGTTGGGAAAACTATACCTCAGTGCAGCTAAGAGCCTTAGAAAAGGACAAGACTACACTCATAGACATGATGCTCCCCCGTCTTTTCTGCCTTAGCAACTCTGCCTTCCCCAGGGAATAGCCTTTTGGGTTATAGGACATTTCTTTGGAATACTGCAGAGCTTGCCTTGCTTTCTGAGGCTCTTCTGAATCCAGCCCCATGGTGTTGACCTGATGGAAGCTCTGTCCCCCCCCCCCTCAGCTGTGCTTGGAGACGATGCAGGTGACAGGGGTTTGAAAATAACCCTTTCTGTGCCTGTGAAGTGACATTAAAGTGGCTCTGTACAGAGATCCGGATCCTGGAAGGTCCGGTGCACCTTCCAGATTTTTATACATTTCTGGGGACCTGTTACCATACTGTTTAGCATTCAGTCCTGGAGAGCACAGAGTTACCACGATTTTTTTTTTAATCCTTTGATGAGTCAGTCAGCAATGGAAATGGCTTTGTTTGTTTGCTTTCTGGTTGGTCTAGCGAGGGTGGAGTAAGAAGCCTGGCCATCTGAACTTTTGTAGGACCCAGTTTCTTTATATGTGGGGTGAAGTTGACTGTGTCACACGAGGCCAAATTCCAAGTAATGTGGAAGCATGTGGCTCGTTTGCTGTGCACGGGTGTGGTGGAGGGATAGTCTCTTTCTCGTTTTGTGTGTTGTTATATGTACATGTGTGTGGTGAAGGGATAGTCTCTAGTTTTATGTGTGTTGTTATGTACATGTGTGTGGTGGAGGGATAGTCTCTTTCTCGTTTTGTGTGTTGTTATATGTACATCAATGCTGAAGTGCTCCCCTTGCCTTGCGCTGCGGGACTTTGTCTGGTGTATGAATGCAGCCGTAGCATTGTGCCGTAAGGAGCATTGTGTCATACTGTTAGCCTGGGTACATTCCAGGCCTAGTTATTGGCAGTCCTGCATTGACATCTAGATCTAAGATTTGACTTATGGATGAATGGTGTGGAGGAAAATACTGAAGGAAGTTAGCCTAAGCTTTAGAGGGGAGCCAAGTTTCATAGTGGCATAGAAACTGTCAACGTCCACTCTAGGGATGACTGAAAGTTTAAAGTCACTGGGATCTAAGGACTATCCCTAGTGTTGTTCACTATATAAGAGCATGTGGTTAGTTCCCAAAGCCCTTTTTCTTGATTGACTTACACACATAACTAAGTAACCTTTAACCCATCTTTGTTTCCTTGATGCTGAAACTGAGCCACCCAGGCAGCCACACCCACTAAGGTCCTTGCTGTGAACCAAAGGCATTGCAGAGTGATGCTCTCCCAACAGTCTTTTGATTTCCTTGACGTTTTCATCTTTTCCCAGCACTTTGAGTTTGTAGCAGCTTCTGAACAATTGCCAGGAGGGTTCTGAGCAACCAGGGTCGCCTACTGCATGTCTTAGGATTCTTCTAGTAGGCTGGGTTCTGCGGTCTGACTGAGTCTGCACCACTCCTTCAGGCTCATGGTACCCTATCCATCTCTTGTCAGGATCTGGGGTTGGGGGGTGTGTGTGAGGTGAGTCTTTTATCTTTTAATGGATCTAGGTCTCGTGTGTTTTTATCTGCCTACTATAAGGCTTTCCTAGCAACTGCTTGAAAGGATAAGTCTGAAGCTCTTAG